ACGAAGTCAGCTAAGTCATGTGCCTTAATATCTGGTCGTGACTCAAATTGAATGTCATATTCACAGAATTCGATTGCCCATTTGGTCAGTCTCCTTAACACCTCAGGTTTTTGCAAAACTTGGTGAAGTGGTCGATTAATGAACATGATGATTGTGTAGGCTTGGAAGTAGAGCTACAACTTTTGAGCTAATATTATCAGAGCAAAGGCAAGCTTCTCAATGTTTGGGTACTTGGTCTCGGCTACATGTACCGAGCTGACGACTTCACAACTAGTGGATAAGTATAGAAGGAGTCCGTCTCTGGGCTTAGGCCTTGTCAATAACGATGGTGAGCTGAGATATTGTCTGAGCTTGTCAAATGCAAGTTGACACTCCTTGGTCCATTGAAAGTCCTAAGCCTTTTTAATGACTTGGAAAAAGGGTAGCCATCACGCTACAACCTAGACATGAAATGGCTGAGGGCGGCGACTTGGCCAGTGAATCCCTGGACTTCTTTAACAGGCTTGGGGGTGGTCTTGGTCTTGGCTTCAATGCCACATCGAGTTATCATGTAACTAGTGTTTTCAACTCAATGTTGACCCAACCGGTTGAACCATTTGAGCCTATCATTTAACTAGGATTCTGAGTTTGGTTCTGTTAAAACCTATCAGTCAGTCAAAAACTATTGACTTGGTCAAAAACCGTTTGACCTGGTCACTAGGTCGTGGGTTGCACACATAATGCATGCAAACTTTTGGATGCCATAACTTTGCACTCCGATGTTCGATTAGGGTATTTTTTTTATTTTGGGTAACTTTTCAAGATCTATGCGTCTTAAGGTGACAAAGGTGCCTTGCCTTGCAATATTTTAAAAAAAAAACTCCATTTTGGCCTCAAATCGTAATTTTTAATATTTTTATAACTAAAAAAAATTAAAAACTGAATTAAAAAATATAAATTAAAAATAAAATAATACACATAATATATCTAAAACATAGTTATACATTATTTATTGATAAAATATGTATTTGTACACATATACATATATGTATATATACACACATATATATTGCTATACAGTTCTGGAATGGACTTTGACAAAAACAGTGTTGAGAACCGAAAACAGAGCAAAAAGGATGGGTAATCTTCATTCTACCTAGGTGATTAAATAGAGAAAGTATACCTTGCCAGATGTTTCATTGATTATAAAGTTCATCGCTCCAATGATGCCAAAATAGAAAAAATCATTGCTCTTTGACTCTCCCAAGCAATAGAGGTAAAAAACTGAAGATACTTGTTTATTATGACGCAAATGGGAGAAAATAGGGGTAGAAGATGAAAGCAGTAAGAGTTAGAGAAGGATAGTGAAACGTGAACAAATTGAAGAATAGTGAGAGGGAAGATGGGAAGGCAAGATGAGTTATAGAAAGAAGGAATCCTAATATATATGCATATATATATATATATATATTAAAAGAAGGAAGTCTAAAATTTTTCTCCTTTTTTAAATTTTTTATATTTATAATCTATGTTATTTTGTTTCTAACAAATCAACCTCATGGATTTGATCTATTATTGGCCACGTCTGATGGCTTTCCTGGAGCCATGCTTCATTATGATTCCAAAAGTTTTATCACATTAGAAACCTCTCCTAAATCGTACCCAACTAGGAACCATTTCTAACTATCACAACTTCACAACTCATTTTATTTCTCGACTTTGAACAAAAAACTGTGGCTGATGAACAGAATTTCCCCAACTCCTTTATTCTTTCTCTATTATGAAATCTTTTGATACTATTTTTTTGGGATGAAAAATCATAGCAAAATGATCGTTTTGGACAAAAAACGGGGTGGAAAGTCAATAAATCATCACCCAAACATCTATGTTTCACTTCCATTTAACAAAGTCCATGCATCACACTAGTTCCCGCTAGTGTTTAATTATGTTACAATGGTGAATGTGATATATTAAGTTGCTATTTTTTTGGGGAAAAAATTTGGAATTTGCCATGCTGATGTGGCAATTCCATGACCTGGGCTGGGCAGGCTAAGATGTTGATATGAGAGAGGGAGAAGGGATTGATGAAGTGGCTTCATGAAGAGCAAGTAAGGCTAAAAGGAAGAGGGTTGAGAGTTCTCCATTGGGGTAAGGGAGAAAGCTCAGGCCATGGCATAACATGTTTCTACTATATATATATATAGATGATGATACATATGTTAGGTGAAATAAATTGTTCGCCTTGGCCATTGAACCAACTGGACTACAAAAAAAATGACAACTAATTAACACAAGCATGCTAATCAAATAAAGAATTGGTCCACCTGATGATATGTAGAACAAACAAGAAATTAAAGTGACTGGAATCATACGGAAACAACTAGAACCATAAGCAAGGACCAAGCGAGGATTTATTATCAACATTGCTCAAAATGTAGCCCATGTTTGAAAATTTGCTGAATGTCTAAAACTTTCTACAACTTTTTTTTTTTTCCTTTAAATGGGTTGCGTTTATTTTGATGGAGCAATACACGACCCTAACGACATATCCTGCACTAAGACACTTTGATGGAGAGCCCTAGGTTGATCTCACACCATTCTTAAGGGCAATACATTGCCTGAATGGTGAGGGATGATGCTGGATGTATTTTCTCCTCTACTATACAATCATTACTTCAAGAACGCTTCATGCTTCACTTCATGGACATAAACACAACTTGGGGTTTCTTTGACTGTAACATCGATATGGGGGGAGGAGATTTTAGGGGCTTTAAGATGTAAGATGAAGGGTAAACGATGTCGGATTTAGATGATATTAGTGTCATTGGATTTGGATTTTTGAGCTCTACATACCTGTGGTTTTAGATTTCTGATTTGTTGTGAAATGAGCTTCATGATCAAAATGACTCCAATCGGACAATGGGAATTGATTCTGGCTTCGGTCTTAAGATGAAGGGGTAAATGATGTCTGATTTGGGTGATTTAGGTATGTTTAAATTCAGAATTTTGGGCTTTACGTACTTATGTTCTCGAATCCTTAAAATCCAAACTTTTGTAAAAATCTAAGAATGCCCTCGAGCCGATTGAGAGGTTAGATAAAGTGTGCTTGCAACTCAAAGTGTTGTAGAAAGACTAAAGGGAGCAAAAATGGGGTGTCTACAACAAGGTTCAAAATATCGATACAGGGCGATATGCCGATAAGGCGTATCGGTACTATTTTTTAATGTTTTTTTTTTTATTTTTTGAAACTAGTTCAAAGGGGCAGGTTTAAGTCTGGTCTACCCTTTGAACAACTTGCTGACCCAAGACACCCCTTGTAGGGGCATATTGGGAAAGCTCCGATATATATGATACGTATCGGCTGATATGGGCCAATACGTGACAAAATGTTGGTCCTTGGTCTACAGTAACAATTAATTTTGTTTTATAATACCAAATCCTATGCACATATCATTTTAAATTTGAATTCGAATGTACCACAAATCTCTTTATTAAAGAAATTAATTTTGAAACTAGTGTGTCTAGACCTGTTCTTGGCCAGGCTAGGACTTAGCTTTGGCCAAATTTGAATGAGCACCTCCTGAAGCCCTATTCTCCTAAACCATTCAACCAATTTACCATACCATGCTAATAATTAAAACAAATAACTTTTATTTAATTTAACATCCCCACATAATCCATATAAAATAATAATAATAACAACATCATCTATGATACCAAAAAGACATGATATTGGAAAATATTAAAAAATGAAGTCAATAATCTATTAAATCAACATCTATTTTTAAAAAATGGTTTTTAATCTCAAAAAATTAATAGAAATAAAAATACTAGTAATAGATCTAATATACTTTTCTGTTATGGTTATACATTTTGTTTGTTTACAAAAATATCTGAGAATTTAACATTAAGTTGATATTTTTGTTAACATTAAAAAGTAAAAATAATAAAATAGAAAATAATTGCTTGTATACAAAATAATAAAATAGAAAATAAATAGTTAGTAAGTAAAATATAATAATTGCTTGTATATGATATATGTATGTCTTGTACTTAAATAGATAATAACATATTAATGGCTTCATAATATATGTTTTGGTCTCTTAATTGATGCATTATCAATAAAATTGTATGACATATATGTATCCCACTACATTAATAATAATGCATTTCTCCATATGTATCAATAAAATATGCATTTGTTCTTATGTACGTATTTATATTTTATTTGTAGTTATTTTAATGCTATTATTTTATTTGCGGGATTGAAAGAAATTCTACTAATGTATTTTCAAAATATATCCATATCTATATTTATATCCAAATTTATTAATATGATATATACTTGTCACTAATACTTTCATATATTAATATTCATCAAGCCAAGATATATATATATATATATATATATATATATATATATATATATGGATGCATACGATAGGATTCATTTGATGTGAAAGCAATGGACTCTATTTCTGTGGCACAAACTTTAAATTACCTTTATAGAGTGTATCATATTTGACTATTAAACAAGTTTCATTTTCTGCAATAAACAAGTTGAGTGCTTTTCAAGCCCAAAATAGACCATTGCACGCATCTTGTTGGTAGCATACCAAAGTGGACTTAATAATACTAAAAAATATCTTATTTAAATATTATGGCTTGAAAGATGGCATATTCCAGAGTTTCAGTTCCACCCTTCCTGTGAATTCTGATGATAATTTTCATTGGCTTGAAAGTTGAAAGGGTACAATACTCTTTTTTTCCTTTTCTCTTTTATAAATTATGATATGAAAAGAGCCAAATTCACGTTTGGCCATGTTCTCGTAGAAAGGTCAGAGTGTCAAATTCTCAAAGACCTCGGCACTGGGATGACAGCTGAGGTGGAATTTGAATATATATGCTGAATGAGTATTTTTCTTTTTCTTTCTTTTTTTTTTTTTTTTTTCTGCGCCCGGCACCTGGCTGGCTCTGGCTGGGTTATAAGGGAAGTCAGTGGTCATCCTCTTCACAGAGGAATGCACAGCTTTACTTTGCCTCTGAAACCAGGAAGAATTGAAGCAATGCATACTAGAGAGTTGTTGTTCTTTCTTTCTTTCATGCATGCAACCTTTGGGTTCATATCTGCACAAACTCTTGTTCACCGGTGTGATGGAGGTAATTACACAGCTAATAGCACTTATGAACCAAACCTCCAAACCGTCCTTTCTTCTCTATCTTCTAATTCCACACGCGAGAATGGGTTCTACAATGGCACCGCCGGTCAGGGTCCAGATAAAGTCTACGGACTATTTCTATGTAGAGGTGACATCGTAGCTCAAGACTGTCAGAATTGCATCAACAACGCAGGTGAGGAGATCATCAAACGTTGCCCCAAGAAGAAAGAGGCGATTTTCTGGGTTGATGAGTGTATGCTTCGGTATTCAAACCGGTCCATTTTCTCAACTCTTGAGGAAGCACAAGGCAAGCTCTAATTAGCTCTGCCAATGCTTCTGATCCAGTTCAGCACGGTCAGAAGGTACAAGATCTCCTGTACAGCCTTGTGAGTCAAGCTGCCTTTCGCTCATCCACCGCCATGTTTGCCACAGGGGAAACAAGCTTCCAAAGCTTTGGGAAGATATACGGGCTAGTTCAATGCACTCCTGATATATCTCAGGATGATTGCAATAGATGCCTAACAGGGGCTGTCGGTTCTCTCACCGACTGTTGCAATAACAGAATAGGTGCCAGAATTCTCAAACCCAGTTGTAGTATTAGGCATGAGTCCTACAGATTTTATGACTCCAAGGCTTCTACACCACCTCCATCGACTCTTGTATGTCCTCTGTTTACACCACTCACGAACACAACAATTACAGAGGGTAATCGTAGGATTTTCAGGATATTTTCTTTTTTTTTCTTTTTACCCAAACATTCCCCCGATCAACTTTGTCCGAAATTCTCTGGCCGGTAGATGTAGGAAAGGGAAGAAATTCACCTGGCGTTATCATTGCTATTGTGATTTCGACAGTTATTGGAGCAACAATTCTTTCTATCCTATACTTCTTCTGCTTACGGAGTAGGAAGCCCAAAGAACACATGGACATAGATGGTAAATAACTGCCTTTCAAGCCTACATGCACTACTGCTTAATTTCAAGCTTCAAAATCGATCAAATGCCGAGTATAGCCCTTAATTTCTTTTGAGTTGGATCCATTATCTGCACTCTGTGGTTTCAGTTTTACCCAAATAAATCAAGATGTACTAACTCATTTAGTCCATATTTATTATGAAGATGTTGATAAGATCAAAGTGTGGAATCTCTGCAATTCAACTTTGCTACAATAATAGCTGCAACAAACAACTTCTCAAATGATAATAAGCTTGGACAAGGTGGCTTCGGTGAGGTTTATAAGGTACTACTAGCACTAAAGTTTTTAATCCCAAAATTGCTATGTAGCTGCCCTTAACGGAAAGGCAAAACTAGCAGAAGACGTCAAACTGGAGCGACCAATAGACTACACCGAGGAGTGAGCTGCCCAAATGGAAGAGACGGCTCACATACCGATTTCTGAGACCGAACCGAACAAGACTCTCCAGATCAATGCATTGATAAGTGAACCGCTCCGAATACAACTAGTAAGTTTCTTACTTAACAATTTAGATGTTTTCGCCTGATCCGCGGTAGAAATGCCCAGAATTGACCCTAGTATAATAACTCATAAACTTAATGTAGATCCTCTAGTCAAGCCAATTAGACAAATAAAATGCAACCTCGCCCCGGAAAAGTGGAAGGTAGTCGATGAGGAGGTCAGAAAGCTCCTCGCCCCAGACTTCGTCAGGGAGGTCCATTACCTAAGCAGGGTTGCCAACCCCGTGCTTGTGAAGAAAGCCAATGGCAAGTGGTGCATGTGCGTCGACTACACTAACCTGAAAAGAGTCCTGCCCAAAGGATTGCTTCCCCCTGCCCAAAATTGACCGCCTGGTAGACACAACCTCAAGGCATGAGTTGTTGAGTTTCATGGACGCCTAATCTAACTATAATCAAATTATGATGGACATGGCTAACCAAGACAAAATTGCTTTTATAACTAAACTCGGGCTATACTGTTATAAAGTTATGCCCTTTGGTTTGACAAATGCTGGAGCAACTTTCCAGCGACTTATAAAAAATATTTTTGAACCTTTGATTGGCAATAAAGTGGAATGTTATGTTGATGACATGGTCATGAAGACCCAATTTTCTAGATCTTTAATTGACGATTTAGATGTTGTTTTTCAAATTTTAAGGAAATACAACATGAGGTTAAACACAAATATATGTGTCTTCGGGGTCATGTCGGGCAAGTTCCTTGGTTACATAGTGAACCAACGTGGCATCGAAGCAAACCTGGACAAAATCAATGCCATCTTAGAAATGCAACCACCCCAGAAAATCAAGGAGATACAACGGCTAACTGGCTGCATAGCTGCCTTAAACTGATTTATGTCTAAATCGGCAAGTCATTGCCTTCCCTTTTCTAAAGCAATTAAAAAGAATGAAACTTTCAAATGGACTGAAGAGTGTCAACTCGCGTTTGATGAGCTGAAAAGGTACCTAAGTACCGCCCCGGTTTTAACCCGACTTAAGGAAGGAGATGTGTTGAAGTTGTTCCTCTCTACGAGTGACGAGGTGGTCAGCTTGGTACTAATAAGAGAGGTAGATCGGGTTCAACACCCCGTCTACTATGTAAGTAAAGTGTTGCAGGATGAAGAAACCAGATACCCTGATATCGAGAAGTTGGCGTACGCACTAACGGTAGCAGCTTGGAAACTACGCCCATACTTCCAAGCCCATACCATCGTCGTCCTTACTGATAGACATCTGAGGCACGTCCTACTTAAGCCCAAGGTGTCAGGAAGATTGACGAAGTGGTCCATCGAGCTTAGTGAGTATGATATCCGGTTCGAGCCATGGCTAGCAATCAAAGCCCAAGTCTTGGCGGACTTCGTAGCAACATGCATGTTCAGCACACCGGCCCCTGAACTGACTAAGCCCGTTAACACGATGGAGGTGTCAACTAGTGCGGCACCGATCCCGGTTAGATCAGTACCGACCTGGAATGAGGAGCCTTGGATCCTCCACGTTGACGACTCATCCAACCAACGAGAAAGTGGTGTAGGACTGATACTATACGGCCCAAGTGAGGTGAAGCTGGAGTACGCTCTCTGGTTCAAATTCAAGGTGTCAAACAACAAGGTGGAGTATGAAGCACTAACTACCAGGCTGAGCTTAGCAAAGGAAATGAGAGCAAAACACCCCATCGTCTACAGCGATTCTCAACTGGTGGTTAACCAAGTCAATGATGACTATGAAGCACGCAACTCGACTATGGCAGCCTACTTGACGAAAGTCAGAGAGATCCCACTAGGCTTTAATTCTTGTTTCATCAAGCAAATTTCGAGGTTCGAGAACACTGAGGCCGATGCCTTATCACGACTAGCAAGCACAAGTGACAACACTATGCAAATTGTGTACATAGAGGACCTGCCTTGGCCCAGCATTCTCGGGGGGGCAGAAGAGGTCGCTCCCGTGTTGTAGGCAAAACCGAGCTGGATTGATCTGCTCGTTGATTATCTACTCCTCGGGACCCTACCTGCAGAATGCAATGCAGCTTAGAGGGTAGAGCGTCAATCATCCTGGTACGTTCTCATAGTTGGATGGTTGTACGGATCATTTACGCTCTCCTACCTATGTTGCCTGCGACCCTCAGAAGCTAAGCTTGTACTTCACAATATCATGAAGGTTTATGTGGAGGACACTTGGGGGCAGGGCCCTTGCCCAAAAGACATTAAGGCAGGGCTACTATTGGCCCACAATGAAGGCAGACACACTCGAGCTTGTTAAGAAATGTGACAAATGTCAAAGGCACGCCAACATCCCCCACCAACCTGCTGCTGATTTGAAGTATCTTACTAGCCCATGGCCCTTCGCGCAATGGGGAATCAACATCCTCGGTTCTTTTCCGCCAACAACTAGGCAAAGGAAGTTCTTGGTCGTGGTAGTGGACTACTTCACGAAGTGGGTGGAAGTTGAACCGTTGGTAAGCATTACAACCCGGAATGTGTAGAATTTCTTCTAGAAAAGCATTGTGTGTCATTTCGGACTGCCCAAAGTCTTAATTTTGGATAATGGAAAGCAATTTGAAGACATCAAATTCTAGAACCGGTGCACCGAGATGAGGATTCAGTAAAACTTCACTTTGGTAGCATATCCACAAGTAAACGGATAGGCCGAAGTGACAAATAGGGCTACCCTCCGCAGACTGAAAGCTTGCCTTGCGTGAGCTAAAGGGTTGTGGGTGGACAAGCTGCCCAGTTTCCTTTGGGCCTACCAGACTACTATCAAGACCACAACCGGCGAAATGCCCTTCAACCTCACATACAGGACAGAAGCTGTGATCTCGGCAAAGATTGAAGTACCAACGTTGCGGCTTGAAGACAGGATTAACTTGGACCTTTCCAAAGAGGTACGTGATTTGGCCCACATTTGAACTGCAGCTTACCAACAGCAATTAGCTTGGTATTAAAACACCCGAGTCAGGAAGCGACTATTCAAAGTTGGCAACCTGGTCCTTCGTAAGGTCATGGTACTTGAGCCCGGCGTGGGTAAGCTCAGCCCAAATTAGGAAGGTCCTTATCAGGTGAGACAGGTGTTCAGAGAAGGAACCTATGAGCTCGAAACCATGGAAGGGAAGCAGGTACCTCAAGCTTGGAATATCGACAACCTAAAGAGACACTACATGTAAACCTTAGTACAAGTAACAAACGACTAAATCCATAAGACAACCGAACTGATCCTATGGACGACAAACTGGAGAGAGGACCTTGAGTCACTCCTAGAAGCCTAAGGGCTATGGTGCCGAGCTAACAAGGAACCTCGGCATGATTTAAGACCCAGTCACCTCTTCGGCAAAGGCAACTTAAGACTTGGTCGCCTCTTTAGCACGGGCTCATTAAAACCCAGTCGCTTTGACATGGGTAAGGCAAAGTAGCCCAGGTGCAGGCAGGTCAGGCATGTACACCCTACGGCGTCTGCTCACCCCAACGTACAATAACGATTATTCCTATTTGAGTTCAAGAGTAATCTCGAGTTCGGGAATAATCTATACTTAGAAAATTTTCGCTCCTATATGGTTTAGCTCATGAGCTCGGGAGTAATCAACATGTAGACAAATTTTGCACACATAAAGTTTTGCAAAATGTTTGTATTCCATTGATATAGTGCTTCGAGTACATAAAAAAAAGAGGAAAAAAAAGAAAAAAGAGAGAAAAAGATTACAACTATTTAGCCGAGCTCGGAGGCTTGGGACATCAAATATTTACAAAGGGGGTCCAAGAAAAGAGGCATCAGTCACTTCGGGGCTCTTCATCCCCAGCAGAGGCATCGGCGGACGGATCTATCTCCATGTGGTCCTCGACGGCATCGGCTCCCTCCCCTCCCATTATCTAATCGTCAAGAGGGTCGTCCTCGCTCTCCTCCTCGGAGTCCGGGTCCTTCACGACTTTGATGGCCATCTCCTTGGTGATCTTATACGTTGTGATGGCACGGAGGTCAAGGTAGGGAAATTCACGTTGGGTTAACCACCTGCTAAGCTTAAACCCCTTGCGGTAGGCCGCTGTCCCGACCTCGACCATCTTCTCACAGTACTCTATCGAAGACTTATATTCCTCGATGGCCTTGGCCTTGGCGTTCTCCATAGCCTGGAGCAGAATTTCAGTCTGCTCCTTCACAAGTGCCTCGAGGTTCTCGTTCTCTCTCTTCAGGGCCACCTCGCGCTCCTCAAGTTGTTTCTTCTCTACTTTGAACTCCTTCTTCTCTAATATTATCAGAGTCAATAGCTCCTTCTTGGCCTGCGCATCATTTTTCAGCTGACTGATCTCGCTATGAGCTAAGTTGAGCTCGAAGTGGGTAGTTCGGGGGACTCCTCGGCTTCGAGAGTTCGCTTTAAGTTCACCTCAGACTGAACGGCCAAGGCGTGGATCGAGGAGTTCACCTGCCAAAACAAGAAAAACAAGTATAAGTATGAAGAAAAATCTAAGTACAAAGCAACCTGAAGGCTAAATACGTACCACCACACAATGCGTGGCCACTCGGGCCCCGATCTGGGCAACCGGCAAGTCAGCCCAGCGAGTGACCTCCTCGGCAAATACTGCGTCCTTGCTCTTGAGAAGGCCAAACTTCAGAGTCAAAATGCTCCAGACTGAAGTATCGCTACCCAAAGAAGTGGCAATCGTTGGTACGGGCTGGGGCTCTGAAGACGTGGTCTCCTCGAGCACGCGATGATGGAGTGGCGTTGCCTGGGTCCAACTCAACCAAGTCGATTACGGGAGGCTATTCGGCGATGGGTGGGTGTTTAGGGGCAGAGGCGGCGACGTCAAAGGTGGTGGTCTCGGTGTGGAGGCCAGCCTTCATGGAGGCCCTCATCTTCTTCTTCCCCTTTTGCATGCTCCCGAAGAGCTCACCGACGGGGATGTCATCCATGGCAACTGCAACAAGTGATGAACTAAGTCAGATACAACACCGAAGTAAACAAACAAGAAAAATGTACAATAGTTAGCGACCTACTAGGAGGGCTTAGACCGGCTTGCACAAGCTTCTCCTCGGTCACGAAGTTTTTGAACTTCAGGCCGAGCTTCACCCAAGATCGGACCTCCTCCCTTGTCTTTGGGTCCAGTCTGACGTCGGGGTCCTAGATGGCTTCCCTCCAATGAGTTGGGAAAGGCCACCCCTTAATGTTACGAACCATGAAGTAGCGTCTTTTACAGGCCGGGACCTTGTTAGGGAGCTCGTGCAACATCTTGTACCCGAGGCGATGAGACATATAGTAACTTTGCTTGTGCTCGGGTAGAACACAAGACGAGTTCTTTTTTATGGAAAGGATCAAAGAGAAGATGTCGAGGTCTAGAGGTCGGTTGTAATCATGGAAAAGGGCAATGGTACCTATGATGTTATGGATGTAGTTGGTTTATGGCAATGTCAAAGAACTTAATGAGTTCGATTATGAAAGGATGGAGTGGAAGACACAGCCCAACTATGAGCTACTTCTCGAAGACCACAATCTCGTCATGATCATGATCCCAAGGAAAGTTGCCTAAGGGAATACTGTATACAAAGTCATTGGGAAGTCTATACCGAACTACTAAAGATAGGAGTCTGTCCACTGTCATTGTAGACAGACCGAAACTGTTTGACAGGTGACCCCGCTGTGAAGTGGAGGCTAACTTGTCGGAGGCTTCTCGCTCTCGCCGAGGTGAGTTTGCCTCAAACGGATTGGAGTCCACATCCTGTGCCAATGTACCCACCTCGGGAGGATGAGGCTCCATGGTCTGTGCTGAGGTCCCCACCTCGCCCCAACGGACTCACCGCTCTCATCTAGAAGGCTATCTAAGCTAAGGCTAGACATACTAATAGAAAGGACAACGGAATCGAAAGCAAAGGGAGACGAATTCACCAAAAGAAGACCGAAAAAAGCAAGACGACCTTGGACCCAGGAATAGCTGACACCGAACTGGGATACTTGAACGTGACCTCAAGGGCTTTGGATTTGCGGTTTTGTGGCGAAGAACATGGGCCCTTCGGCCCTTATTTATAACTACTATATCCGAGAACCAACGGTCGAGATCTACGTGATCCAACGGCTCCTAGGAAAACTGGTTGCATGCTTTCCGAGGTTGAAATCAGTTTAGAGGGCATTTTGACATCCGCAGAGATCATAATAGGCTTGACGTCCATGCGAACTTGATACGCGATATAGGTCACTTCCTGGTTGATTCAAACAGTCGAACAAGTCTAACCAACGGTTCGTCTTCCATATCACCTAGACTTCCTGTCAAATCCACCTGGGCTTTTCCAACTCCGAAGTTGAAATCAGTTTAGAAGCCGTAGGACAGTTTCATTGCAATGAATCTTTCAACAGTAAGGTAAAAGAAATGAAGGAAAAACGGACCAAGTATTTGACTTTAAAATAGAACAGGCATGTTTCGCTATAGAATGAGCCACAGTATTACCCGTACAATGAATGAAGGAGATGCAATAATGATCAAAGTCATGCAACAGGTTCCTTCAATCAGCCAAAACATGATGTAGCCTCTAAGGGACCTAAAGATTAAAGATTGGTCCAAGAGGAGATTAATAATCTGTTGTGCATCTCCCTCTAACCAAATTGATTTGATTCCTTCATCTATGGTCAGCCTTAGGGCCTCCCTAACTGCCGTAGCTTCGAGAACTTTTGGGTGGTTACGAGGAACATTAATAGCCCGGCCCAAATTAAGATTTCTACTTGTTGAGAGGCCTTTTGCCTCTCATTGTGGTGATTGAAAGAACCCCAAGAAAACTGAAAAATGGGTTTTGGGTTGAATAATAAAAGGGTATTTCTGAAATATTGAAAAATGGGTCAAATATAAGAAAGGGTAAAATGGTGATCTACTAACGTTTAACGTGAAGTTACCTGACGTTTTGATTTTTGAAAAGTTATGGTGAGTTTAACCTGGCACTGGTGCGGGTCCTGGTCAAGCGATATTACAGTCAAAGTATGGAAATTCAAACACCGCATCTCCCATTAAACGCTAGAAGGAAACTACTCTTATCTTCATCTCTGTACAACTTAACTCTTCTTTCTCCCTATTGCAGTTCCAGAGATGTTCTGTTTCCTAAAACCAGGACAATCCTTTTCTTTCCTTGTTATCTTATTTTCATGGCTATCAATTGTCAAGAGCACCACGGACTCCGATTTAATTGGCACATCTTGCCAAGGTGCAGAAAATTACACTGCTGGGAACACTTTCGAGTCCAACCTCAGGGTCCTCCTTCCTTCTCTTGCGATTAATGGTTCAACCACAGGCTTCTACAATGCCACCCTGGGAGAAAACCCCAACACTGTCTTCGGACTTGGACTCTGCAGAGGCGATATTCCAGTCGAACAATGCCGTACTTGTCTTGAGAAGGCAAGTGAAGAGATAATACAAGGATGCTCTGGTAGAAAGTCTGGGGTTATATGGTATGAAGTATGCATGCTACGCTACTCTGATCACAACTTTTTCTCCACCAACGACCTCCAAGACAAGAAATTCATGTGGAATGAAAACAACGTAACGGACCCCAATCGGCTTAATCAGATTTTGGTTAACTTGATAACCAATCTTTCATCCCAAGCTGTTTCTGATCCATCTAAACTCCTCTTTGCCACTGGATCGGTGAGTTTTGACTCATTTCTGAAGATATATGGTCTGGTCCAGTGTACAAGAGACTTATCTGAAGATGATTGCAGTCTATGTTTGCAAACTGCTCTTTCATTGATTCCAGACTGTTGCAACAGTGGCAGGGAGCGAGAATTCTTCTAGGGAGCTGCATTTTGAGATATGAACTTCATCCATTCTTTGAGGTATCAACCCCAGATAAATCACCTGCACCACAGCCCCAAACAAATACAACAAGAACAAGTCCCTCAACTTCAGGCGGTAAGTTTTCAGTTGCAGTACTATTGGCTATCAAAGGAGGAAAAAGTAGGAAGAAACTGTGTTAGTATGAACAGATTCTTCGTTTAATATGGATTGAATGAGTAAATGTCTTCCCCTTTTATCCAGGTACAACCTGTAGAAGGTGCTCATCGAGATCAAGATACCTTGTTGCTATTCTCGTACCTACTGTAATCGTGACTGTAGTGGCTTTCTCTGGCATCTTCATTTTTTTGATGATGAGAAGTGAGAAGAAGAAACCCAGGGGTAATGTCATTGCATTTGAGAATTTCTTGTAAAACCCATCCTATTTCAGATCTAAATTTCTTTGAATATACTTGATGCAGTTTGGAAAGAAATGGAAACCATAGAAGCACTTTACTTCAAGTTAGATACTATAGAAGCTGCCACGGCAAAATTCTCCAATGCAAATAAGCTTGGAGAAGGGGGGTTTGGCCCTGTTTATAAGGTACCATTACACTGCAGTGCCTTGCAGAACTATCAAGAATTTAGCTCTCAGAATGGGCTTCTATGTATGGCTTCATTCATTAATTTGCAAGGTATAGACCTATTTACTTACTTGAGTTTTGCAGGGGAAGTTGTTGGATGGAAAAGAAATAGCTGTAAAACGTCTGTCTAACAACTCGAGGCAAGGGATACAGGAATTCAAGAATGAGGTAGCTTTAGCTGCAAAACTACAACACAAGAACCTTGTCAGAATACTGGGTTGTTGCATTGAAGAAAGGGAGAGAATCCTTGTTTATGAATATGTACCAAACAAAAGCCTAGACACCTTTTTGTTTGGTTTGTTCCTAAACCTATATACCATTACTTTTCACTTATGTATAAGAAATCAGGAAAATCTTCATTCAAAATACTGAAAATTTTGGAGCAGAAAAAAGATACCAAACCTCCACTTAATTTTTGTTCTTCTCAAACTTTATATAAAGTATATGATGCAATGTATGCAGATTCAACCAAACGGGTACAATTAAATTGGTCTAAGCGTTACAAAATCATCAAAGGAATTGCTAGGGGTCTTCTTTATCTACATGAGGATTCTCCATGCAGAATCATTCACTGTGATTTGAAAACAAACAACATTTTGTTAGACAGAGATTTTTGTCCCAAAATTGCTGATTTTGGCATGGCAAGGCTCTTCCAAGGAGATTACACTCAAGGCATTACAAGCAGAATTGCAGGAACATAGTAAGCCCCTTCTATTCTTCTGCTCTTCTTTGGATCACCCACCTTTGAGATAAAAAACAGGGCCTTCTGGGTAAGGTGTCATAGCCTCATAGGGACCCCCCCCCCCAACCCCAATGAGGAATCAATCCTTAACAGACATCCCATAGACCTAGAAGTTTATTAATTGCATTTGGGTTTTTCAGTTTCTTTGTTTCTTCCATTTTTGTCTGTTCTCCTTTATTTTTCTCCTACGTGAGCTCTCAACGAGTCCAATGTTAAGGTACTAAACATTGTTATAGTTTCCATTGAATGTAGATTATGAGTTTATCAAGTTACTGTTTTTATATGCAGTGGATATATGGCACCAGAATATGCAATGCATGGAAACTTCTCAGTTAAATCTGATGTCTTTAGTTTTGGGGTTATACTTCTGGAGATTGTGAGTGGGCAAAGGAATTCTAATTTCTTTGAACTAGAACATGGGCAAGGTCTTCTGAGCTATGTAAGTACACCATTTCAACTTATTCATTGTTTTCATACGAGGAATTGCAACCCCTATAAATAGCTGGTGAGAGTTAAATTTGAACTCTGTAGATATGGAGGAACTGGAGAGAGGGAACAATTCTAAAACTGATAGATCCAGCAATGGTCGAATCATGTGAAATGACTGAGGTGTTCAGATGTATTCATATTGGGTTATTATGTGTTGAAGAGGTTTTCACTGATCGCCCATCAATGTCCACTGTCAATACCATGCTCAATACCAACTCAAGCCTACGGACCCCTTCACCACCTGCACTGGTATTTAGTACTACTGGATCAAATTATACTTCAACATAACAAGTTTAATATGACAAGGAATAAGATGCCATTTTTTGTAGATGCCACCTGTCTCCCTGTTTTGGCTTTTCTTTCCAATGAAAATTAATCGAGCACTGTTCTGCTTCTGCATCTCAATTGGTCCCACGAACTAAATTGTCAAGTAGAAATGTAGAATCTTTTTTAAAAGAAATGCCAGAGAAAGATTGAGATATATATGAATTTCTACTTTTCTTTTCAATTTCACGAGAACACAATATATTGTGGTTATTAACCTGTTTTTCTTTGTTTTGCTGATCGAATGGCTATGGAATTCGTCATCCCCGAGTGAAGACACAAAGCTAACTTCATCCTTTCGACTCTCAAATCGGTTGTTGCCGATTTGGAGACTTATGGGCCTATGAGAAAACGTTAAAAAGACGAATTGTTTTTATTGATTTTTGTTGGTTGAACTGATTACAAAGAGGTATAGTTCAATACAAATTACAATACTAGGAAAGAAAAGGATAACTATTATCCTGTTGTGAGAGGAATGCTTATCAAACTGAATCTGTAGATGCATGATGCGCATGGGATCTGACGTGGTCACTAACAGGGCCAAACCAGGACATGGTGACACTGACATGAAAAAAGAGGTCCATGCTAAAGTACTCCAATTGGGCCCGGTCCGTTGCGCTATTCATTTGAGACTGAAAAGCCCATTTCCAGGCTCAGGCCTTTGAGCTTTGTTTACCAAAAGCTCTTTGTAGGGATTTTAGTTTATTCTTTATTAGCCACAGCCTGTAAAACAGCAATAAAGTTCTAAGCCATCGGCAACACATGCATCAATCAAATTCAGCTCATCCACCATAACATAACATGGGCGTACCACTAGACTCACTACTTTTAGAGGGTTCTAGTAGAAGATTAATCGAACGTTGGGGCTGTCATTTTCTAGTGCACTAACAAAAGCCAATGTCCCAACTCCCAACTCACAAGCCCTGAAGCCGACCCACTTGGGCTGCAGAGAAATGGACCCCCTCTTGCCTCCTCAACTTTAAAAGTTCATGTTGCCAGCCGAAGCCCACTAATTGCAGAGAGGTAGTCATGGAATCCCATCACTGAACTGTTCTCATCAAGCTAGAAGTAGAAATGTTGAATTGAAGGAGAGTGGAATGAACAAGTGTTGTGCACTGATTAGCTTCACATATACCTACTGCTTCACCCGTTAATCTGTCACATGTAGTCTGTATTTTCTCGTATACAAACAAAATTGATAAATTCTCGAATCTCGAAACTGACGTTGAAAGATCTGCAAAAGGCAATTTCCATGATGCGGGCCAAAGGGCAACCTGTTTTGCAATGATTTCATGAAACCCTTTAATTTGCAATTCATTGTTATCTCAAACTATTATTATCACAGTTCACAGCCCAACCCTGACTTGATAACAGTTGAAGTGGTTAATAAATGACTTATTACTCTTATCATAAATGAAATCACTTGATATATAATTCTAAGGAATCTTCAAATATATCTGTAATAGATGATAAAAAGGATCGTAAAAGTAGGCTAAAATAGTTTCATCATGTGCATAAATTATCGCGTTTACAAGTTACAACACTCTTTCATAATACGTCACCTATTATGAAATACAAATAGGCATGAGGAAAGGTAATGAAAGATGATTTAAACGCTCATAATTTAATTTAACAATGGATATATCAATGGTAGTTACAATAGAATTCATGTAGTTGACCCTATATAATGATAAGGCTTAGGTGATAATGATAATGATTTAAGGTTTCGTACGTGTGATCAATAGGTATCTCTTTTATATTGATCAATTTTATAATGTTCTTTTTGTATTAAGTAATGAATTTCGCGATAAAGAATTTCATTTACCTAGATCAAGTTTATTCATCTCCTAAGTAAATAATTTTTTCACTTGGAATAAAAGTTTATAAAATATAATTGAACAAATTTATCCTTTTAACATTAATTTTATATGGGTGAAAAGGTCATTATATTATTTACCTGAAAATCAAAAGAACATGAATAAATAAACTTATCCAACTAGGTATTGCCTAGGAAACATGTGTAAGCGCATCTACTCAGGTAAGTGAGAAATTTATAAATAAACGGACCAAAATGTAGTATTAACCCAACTTCAAGATTCAGTTAGAAAACTCCTCCTCCTTAATAATAAGTCATTTAATTCAGCAACTTCAGATTTTAGGTAAATATGACAATATGCATTGCCAGTTTGCGACAATAGGTTGCGTGTTAGGGTCCTAATTACCTATTTGAAGGAGATAAAAAAATTCCAAAAAAATATATATATATATATATATATATTAACGTGCCCCTTCAGAAAACGAAAATGAAATCACCGAACCAACCCTTAGAGATCGAGTTGAAAAGGAACGTTTGTATAGATGATTTGTGTTGTGCAATATAAAACCTTTATATTAGCCGCCTACAAATTAAGTCTTACCAAAAGAAAATTAAAGAAATCAACAGTAATCTGTGACAAGGCAGATATCATTAACCTAATACCAGCCTTATATAAGTGAAATCCACCAATTTGTGTAGAAAATTAATAAAGAAGAAGAAGAGGCAAAATCTTACTGCATTATACAGGTTTAGGCCCACTGCTTTTTATATATGAGCCAAGATTATCTGTAAACAAGATGCTATGAGAGAAGCTCATACTCTGAATACAAGACCAAATCAAGAAAAAATGAGGTACGTCACTCGTTTCATTGAATTAAACAATGGAAACTGGTTCAGAATCAATTCTTGGGTGGTGGAGTTCTCATACAGAGAGAGAGAGAAGTTCAATTATTATCAAATTAATTGCCGTAAAATTGAATCACCATGTGTGCATGCACATGATCCAACCTGGACGACCCACTAATGGGGGAACTAATTAAACTTGCCCAACTCATCTTACCACTAATAAGACGATGATTGCAGGATGCAAATTAGCAATTTTTTTAATGTAACCGTTCAGAATGTAAAAAGTAAAAGAGAAATTATAAAAAAAAAAAAAGTTTGACTATCGGGGACTCATGCCATTTTAGATGGAACTCTTTTTGGATTAATTAAAAATTTAATATAGTCAATCGGATTTTTCAGTCAGTTACATTGGGATCTAAGCTAAATGAAATATTTTATTTGTTTTAATATACTTTTTAAACATGGATACACCCTTTGCTGGTGTTTGGCTGTATCAGTTTACCAGTACTAGGAATTCTTTTATTTTTTGTAAAAAAGAAAAAGTAGAAAGGATTTTTTGGTAAAAATAAGGGGGTTTAATTAGGTGATATGTCAGGTCTTTGATTGGTAGAAACAAAAAAGGTACATGTCTAAATCAAATGGTTGCAATTAGATTTAGATTGAGATTGTTTTGGAGATTAAAATCAGTTTTATGAGATTTGTTAAACTAAGATTATCTCTATATATCTTTAGTAACTCAACCAACCAATGATCTAGTAAAAATGTAGAAATCCATCCATAAAATAAAAAAAAAAGAAAAAAAAAAAAAGCTAAAAACATAGCAACTTTATCTAGCTGACTCAGATTCCAGCAACTTGCAAACATGTAAGACTCAACCCATCCCCCCGTCTGATATTTTTTTTCATCACTGGGCAATTTCATACCTAAAAGAGTTCAACCAATTAGAATGTTAGGCAATTATTATTATTATTATTACTCATTAGAAGCAATGAACGTGCTGGCCAAATTGTTTTGTCAGGTGAGGTGATCTGGCAACTAGGCAAAGGTATCCCCTGCAAGTTACAAGCGACAATTGATTGTAAAATAAGGAAATAACAAAAATAATTTTAGCCTTTGCTTGATTGTTGCTTGCTGATTGGTGAAGCCTAGTTGTGTGGAGCAGCATTGTACGCTTGGGTTTCTGTAAGGGCCCCACCCATATGAGAGAGATGAGGACGTTTTGTCTCTGGACTCTGGGTGGGTGGCAGGTTGGGACGCTACTGATTCTTTTGGCATTGGATTCGGTCATTCGGGTGCTACTTGACTCATGCCTAGCCTAACTAACAACAAACTATAGTTTATGTGTTAAGTAAATGTTAACAGCTGGCAAAACAAAACCACGTCACCCACCCATGTCATCACTTGACAGCTTTGACATTATTTCGAAATTCGAACATGGGAGAGGTTTTGGTTTGGCATAATTATATCCACCGTCAAAAGGAGCCTTTCCCTCCTTCCAGGAAAGAGCGAGAATATACTCGAGGTAATGGAATGGCTGTGTTTAACCAGCAACTATTTCTGTAGAAACTTTTCTCCATAGAATATAGACATTGATGTTGCGGAACTTCTCAGTTCTCACCTTTTAAAACGTAAGTAAAAGTTCAGGAGTCAAGCTCGTCCTTACTCCCTACACACAGCAGCTATCGTGTAGGAAACCAAGTCCACGAACGGAGGTTCGTAACGGACTCTCCGTTCTCTTCTTGTCTTTGTCTTCTTTATGAGTAGAGTCCATGTATTGAGTGATTAATTGTTTTCCTTCAATCCGTCTATTTATTTAAGAGTGGCCACAACCAACAGATGCAAGAGAGATCCTGGAGTTTTCAAACGCCAAAACCCACGATAGCAAATGAGGTCTCTCTGCTTTCTGAAATGGGTATTTCTCCCTTTAACCTTTTTCATCATTTTCAATCACTCCTATGCAAAGCGAATCCAATCCACTTCGAACCCCTTCAATGCAACTCAGTTCATCAACCAGATCTCTCAATGGAGGGCACACCAGATTGAACTCCAAAACACCCAGAAAGGTTTATCAGTCCCGATTATTTTAGCAGCTGTCCTCTGCTTCATGGCCGGGTCTATATCTAGTGCGGGTGGGATTGGTGGTGGTGGATTGTTCGTACCCATACTGAATATAGTGGCGGGTCTGGACCTGAAAACAGCTTCAAGTTTCTCGGCTTTCATGGTCACAGCAGGGTCAGTTGCCAACGTCTTCTGCAACTTTTATTTCAAGAACCCCAAATATGGGGGTAAGGTCTTGACTGACTATGATATAGTACTCCTATCAGAGCCGTGCATGCTTTTGGGAGTGAGTATTGGTGTTATCTGCAATATTATCTTCCCCGAGTGGCTGATTACCATTCTATTCGCTGTTTTTATTGCTTGGACTACATTCAAAACATGTAAATCCGGTTTCTCGTATTGGAAATCTGAATCTGACGAGGCGTGGTTAAATGGGTCTGAGGAAGAATCAAGAATTGGGTCTGTGAAAGAGGAGGTTTGTGATGGAAACGGAGGAGAGGAGAGCTTGAAACAGCCTCTTTTGGGTGGAAGAGAAGAAGGCGGTTTCGAGGTTCCCTGGAAGAAACTAGGGATTTTGGTTATGATATGGTTTTCCTTCTTTGCACTTCAACTCATCCGTGGAGACAAGAAAGCAGAAGATGGACAGGTACCGCTCTTTCTTTCTTCTTTCCTCTGCCCTGATGTCTGCAATTCTATTATTTTTTTTTTTTTTTTTTTTTTAAAGAGTATG